AAAAAAAAACAGCTATCAGGTGACCTGGCCAGGTCCCACAGGGCACAGTGACACCCCAGGTGACATCGGGGATGTCAGTATTATCTAAAAGCAATTCCATGCCCATCCAAAATGCCAGGGATCACAGTGCCAGAAGACTCAGTCCAGACAGGATCAGGAAAGAAGAAAAAGATTCTGTGCTTTTTGCCCTGAGAAGCCACACTGTGCAGGTGGAAACCCTGCCGCCCAAGCTCCACTAAATAGGAGGGTCTGCTTCTACAAGGCCACCCAGCAGGGAGGCAGAAGAGTGCTCAGTCCGGGCTGGGCTGCCACATCCATCCTTCCATTTACTCCTCCACGCCAGGAGGAAGACAGAACTGCCCTGTTTAGGGGAGAAAGCTCCATGCAAAATAAAGACGTGAGGGAACTGGGTGTCTTGGCATCAAAGGCTCACCAACAAATCTGATGGCAAGGGACTGTCTACGAGGTGGGAGAGCCTCAGCTACCACCAGGAAAACAGGCTTCAGCTAGGACCTCGGGACAGGCACACAGCTCTGGGGCCACCAGGGTCTATGACAAACCTGAGGAAATCAGTCGCAAACCGCAGTCTGTCAAAACCAAGCATGAAGACACACCCCCAAGCTCTCCCACGCCCCCCGCCACCGCACCCACCCCTCGGGGGTGAATGCCACAGAAGAATGGAGTGAGAGTGGACCACAGGCCTGGGGACACAGCTGAGGCCAGCAAGGATGGCCGGGCAGGCACCCGCCCGGATGGTCCCACACCACCAAAAGAGAGCAGCCCAAAAGGCAGGCATTGCCAAGGCCACCCCTGACTGCACGCCCACAGGCTGATCCCTGCCCCAGTTCCAGCTCACAGCCAGGATTCCCACACTTGAGCTGATCAACCTTGCCAGAGGGTTTGTTAAAGCACCGATCACTGGGCTCCAGTGCGAGTTCCTGATTCAGCAGGTCTGGGCTGGGGCCTGAGAATGTGCATTTCTATAGGTGCCCAGGCAATGCTAAGGCTGCAGGTCCAGGGACCACACCTGGAGGCCATCTGGTCAAGGCAATTTGAAAAGGCCACAGAGAGCTTAGTACGGAGTGGACTCACGCATGTTCGTCTCAGGGAAATGCACACACACACACACACACATTCACATACACATAAACTCACATACATAATAAACACACACATCCATACATTCACACACAGGTAACAATTACATTATCCACACATATATACACACTCAGATATATTAACAACTACATTCGAAACCTACACACATAATTATATACAAGACACATATATTCACATATGTAACATTTACATACATAATAGATGCATAGAAACATTCATATTAACAATTACATGACACACATATATACACTCACATATAAAGACTACATACCTAATATATATATATTCACATACGTAACACTCGTATGTATGGCACATGTATGTATTCATGTGCTGACACATGTATAACACGTACATATTCATTTGTGTGCATATAACAATTACATGTATAACATGCATACATGTGTTCGTATACCTATACTTACATGCATAACATGCATGAGTATTCATATACATATAACAACTGCATGCATGTGTGTATTCATATACTTACAACAATTACATACATAATACACACACACACACACACACACACAGAGCAGCAAGGGGAGTGGGCAGGAGCCAGGCTGGGCTAGAAGAGCCAGATCGCTTAGCAACCACACCTGTGAAAAGATTAACAGGGAGGCCGCGTCCTGATGCAGGAGGAGGGCTGTGCTCCAGGAGACCGAAGACTCCTCTCTGGGACCCTGGGCTCCAGGGGGCACAGTGACAACATCTAAGCAGCCAGGATAGGGCTCTGGCCTGTCCTGGCTGTTGACAGCCCTGCAACCCGCGTCTTTAGACCCGGCACACGGCTTTAGCCCTCTGGTGCCTCTGATGTCCAGGGCTCACCAACAAATCTGATGGCAAGGAACTGTCCGCAAGGTGGGAGAGCCTCAGCTGCCACCAGGAAAACAGGCTTCAGCCAGGGCCTTGGGACAGGCACACAGCTCTGGGACCACCTGGGCTTCAGCCCCGGGCTCCCGGGGCCTGTGACAAGCCTGAGGAAATCGGTCACAAACCGCAGCCTGTCAAAACCAAATGCAAAGACACTCCCCCAAGTCCCCCCACTCCCCCCGCTGCCCCACCCTAACCCCTGTCGGCGGTGAGGGCTACAGAAGAATGGAGTGAGAGTGGACCACAGACCTGGGGACACAGCCGAGGCCAGCAAGGACGGCCGGGCAGGCGCCCACCCCGGATGGCCTCAGCTCTTGATGCTGCAACATGTTTTTCAAAGTTTGTCAGTATTTTAGGTTTCTGAGTGAGATTTTTTTTTAATGTTCCTATGACCTCAAATGCATACTGTGCTCTTCCAGAAGCGAAGAGACCACACCACGTGACAGCATTAAAAGGAGTATAATAAGGGCACCCTGCCTGTGACCAGGCTTCTGTGACAGGCCTGAGCCCATAGTCCCTCTTCTTTCGTCCACAGCTAGGTTAGAGAGCACCCCTATGGCCACTGCGTAAAGGAGAAAACTGAGGCTCAGGTCGGCAGGGGGAGAGGGCAGGGCCCGGCCACTCAAGTGATGAGGTTGGAGAGCCACCCCCATGCCCAATGGCTTAAGGAGGAAACCAAGGCTCAGGAGGGCAGGGGGCAAGAGCAGAGCCCAGTCACTGCAGCCAGGATCTGATCTCGACTTCATCAGAGCAGGGAAGCTGCCACACAGGCGCCGCTGGCCGAGCCTGGGGAAGGATGTCCTACTGCACCACAAGACAGAGGCAGTTAGCCAGTTCCATGTCTGGAGGTCACCAGGCTCACAACCCAGAAGACTGCCAAATCTCCAGCACAACACCCCAGATTCTGTGTACGACGAAGCTAGGGGGAGCCAAGGGCAGAAAGCCCTGCCCTGCTTGAGAAGTATGGGCAACAGCACACCTGACAGACGTCCAGGAGGAACCACGGCCCACCTGTTTCCCTACCCCACCGGGGAGGCCCGAACCTGCACACACTTCCCCAGCAGCAAGACGCAGCTTCCCATCTCCCTCCCAGGGAGTCGCTTCTGATTTGCAGTGAGAGAAGAGGGTCCTGTGTCCTACTGTCTAGGCACAGTGAGCCTTTCAGTTATCCTGCAAGCTGCTAATAAGCCCTCAGAAACAAAGCTTCACCCCCTTAGCTCCAAAGGGAGGAGGCAAATAAAACACCAGGAGGTACCACGACCTTCCAAGGAGCTGCATTTGAAAAGCAGACAGCAATTTAAATTTGCCTAATCACAAGCCAAACAGAAAGTGCTATTGTATTTACAAATCAATCTGATTTGAACACACACACACACACACCCAGTAGAGTTGGATGTCAGTCTACAAACCACTACACTACATTGTCCACTGCCACCCGGCGACCCAGGCACCCTCACTATCCAGGTTTTTATCACTAAGACAACAGACTTGTGCTGTCTTCACTTTATAGCCAAGGAAACTCAGCCTGGGGAGATTCGCCCCGAAGGTAACTATTACTGATAGAAAGGCAGCTCCCGCAAAGGTGCAGCGGATCCTCTTCTCTAAAAAACCATGCAAATGGCCAGTGCAGCATGGTCAAAGGTCCTCAGAGAGAGTCTTGGGAATGAAAGCTAGAGGTCAAAGGGAGGGCATGGATACTCGAGGAAGCCAAAAGATCCCCAAAGAGGGCCCAGCTTCAAGGACTTAGTCCCACAGGATAGAACAATGGAGCCAAAGAAATGCAAAGGTCTTACCTGTTCCAGTCGGGCTTGTACACCGCAGGGAATCACCACCTTTCAAAGACAGAAGAAACAGATAAGCAAACGGATTCTCCAGGAAAAAATTAGCATCATAATCAAGCCAGGCTCCCAAAGGCTGAATGAAACTGTCTCTAACCTCACTCCGACCACAAAGCTGTAGCAGATCAAGACTGACAAGATTTAGAGTTAAGAGAGTCCAGGGTTTTGTTCACTTTTGGAAAGTCCCTGTCCTTTTTGCTAATGTCATGGAAACCATGGGACCTCCCCTTCAAGAAAAATGCAAATTACTCATAGATACAAAATTTAGCCCCCACTTGCACAAAGAACTGGTAGACCTCGAGGATGGAAACTTCCGAGTCGGTCCGTGTTTGGGGAGCTTGGGAGTGGGGCCCAGAGAAGGAGGTGGAAGGCTCTCCCTGGCAGTCTTCAAGCCCCCGCTCCTCCCATCCTCACCCAGAGGCATGCATTCTCTACACAAGGGGCCACTTTTTCTAGAACTATTTCTACAAGTAGAACTGAAAAGAGTCTGAATGTGGCAATGTTGACGTGGTTATTCCATTCAGCACCAGAGATGGGAGTGGAGACTTTGATTCCATCAGTCTCTGAAGACCGAGAGCTCCCTGGGAAAGACAAAGAAAGCAAGGGAGGCGAGGCGGCTCAAACACGGTCAGGAGAGGCAGTTAGTTACAGGCACACGGAGCCACCAGTCCTGCAGGGCAAAGGCCCCACCTTGGGAAGGATCTCCACCACTTTCTAGCCACGGGACCTTGGCCTTTAATCTCTCTGGGCCTCAGTTTCCACATCTGAAAACTACAGGTAACAATAGTGCCTTCCGGGCAAGGTCACTGTGAGAATTAAGAGATGGCATGTGAGGAGCTCAGAAGAGTGGCTGGCACAGGGCAGGGGCCCCACTCACAGGCACAGAGCTCTCCCTGAGGACAGGGACTAAGGGGGCCAGACTGGCATCGCACTGCTCTGGGGGGCCGCTCAGGAGCCAGGTGCCAGCAAACAGTATTTGGCTCCTGGTGAGTGACCTCACTCCTTAGCTTTCTCCTGGTACTGCCCCCTCCAGATCCCTGGCACCTGCCTTCTCAAAGAGTTTTCTGAAAATGTGCAATGGAAGGAGAATCTTAGAGAATCTCAGAGATCTGACTAATTGTCCTTGTGGTTTGGGGTGGGTGGTGGCGTGACCTTGGCTCTTGCCAGGACAACTATTTATGGCCTCTTGCTTATCTTACGCAGTCCGGTCCTTAGGCAGTATGTGACACATGGTCGTTCCTGTGTCTGGGACACATGATTACTCCACCAGGGCTCTGACTCAGACGGATGTCTGGGGCAGGGGTCCTCTCTCAGGGCCCCTGGCCCCACCACGAACTGGCTGTCCCCTACACACTCATAGCAGCTGGCCAGCAGGAATACACCTTTTCCATTTGTGTGTCCTCAACTACATGTGTGTACATTAAAGTTTGATGAATGCATGAGAGAATAAGTAAACAAATACGTGTAGGGGCCGGGCGCGGTGGCTCAAGCCTGTAATCCCAGCACTTTGGGAGGCCGAAACGGGTGGATCACGAGGTCAGGAGATCGAGACCATCCTGGCTAACACGGTGAAACCCCGTCTCTACTAAAAAATACAAAAAACTAGCCGGGCGAGGTGGCGGGCGCCTGTAGTCCCAGCTACTCGGGAGGCTGAGGCAGGAGAACGGCGTGAACCCGGAGGCGGAGCTTGCAGTGAGCTGAGATCCGGCCACTGCACTCCAGCCTGGGCCACAGAGCAAGACTCCGTCTCAAAAAAAAAAAAAAAAAAAAAACAAATACGTGTAAAGCAAAACAAAACAAAAACGGCTTTGGAAACAGAGGGAGAGTCACAGACAAAACCTTACAGGATGGTGGAAACAGCCAGACAAGGAGACCCCATGGTTAACAGAGTGGTGTGACTTATCTCCCCCCAAGCATGGTATCTACTCAGCGCACACATGCATCTTGTTGCCTCACTCCACATGTGACATGCAGGCAAGAAATGTGCAAAGAATCAGGGCCCCTGCCTTTCAAACTCACTGTCAGCATTCCTGCAATGGCATATCAAGCGTGACAAAAAGAAATGAGCTATGAAGGCAGGAAAACATAAAGAGGAAACTTAAATGCATATTACTAAGTGAAAGAAGCCACTGTGAAAAGGCCACATACTGTATGGTTTCAACTCTGTGACATTCTGGAAAAGGCAAAACTGTGGGACAGTGAAAAGGTCAGTGAAAGGGATTAGGAGGGAGAGAGGAACAGGCAGAGCACAGAGACTCTTTAGGGCCATGAAGCTATTCTGCTTGATACTGTAATGATGGATGCACGTCATTCTGCATTTGTCTAAACCCACAGAATGTACGACACCAGGAGAGAATCCTAATGTAAACCAAGGGCTCTGGTTACTAAGACTGCATCAATATTGGCTAATCAAGTGTAACAAATGTACCACAGGAATGGAAGATGTTTACATATGAAGAGGAAGAAGAGTGTGTCCAATTTTTTTCTTTTCTTTTCTTTTCTTTTTTTTTTTTTTTTTTTGAGACGGAGTCTTGCTCTGTTGCCCAGGCTGGAGTGCAGTGGCGTGATCTCGGCTCACTGCAAGCTCTGCCTCCTGGGTTCTCGCCATTCTCCTGCCTCAGCCTCCCGAGTAGCTGGCACTACAGGCGCCTGCCACCACGCCTGGCTAATATTTTGTTATTTTTAGTAGAGACGGGGTTTCACTGTGTTAGCCAGGATGGTCTCAATCTCGTGATCCACCCACCTTGGCCTCCCAAAGTGCTGGGATTACAGGCGTGAGCCACCGCGCCTGCCTGAGTGTGTCCAATTTTTGTATAAATCTAGAACTCCCTTAAAAATAGAGTCTATAATACATTTTTAAAATTCATTGTATGGAAGCATGCGTTTGTTGAGACAATGAAAAGAAAAGCCCGTGCAATGTCAGAAACTTGAGTTTTAAAGACAGCAGTAACTTAAGGATTTGGTCCAAAAGCCAGGTCTGTGTGTTCCCACATCCCTCTATGGCCAGATGGGGTGCAATAACTGCCCACTGCCTGGCCTGGCCTCAGGATGTCCTACAGAAAAGAAGAGGTGAGCTGTGTAAGCTGGGACTGCCCGAGTCCCATCTTGCCCCAGATCATCCACGGCTTATATGGCTAAGGGGCTCTGGAATTGGCACACCTGAACTCCATCCATCACTTGTCCTGCACATTTTCACTGACAGTCTTCTCCTGCCAGGACTTCACTTGGAAATGAAGCAGACTGGTCCCCAACCCCACAGAGTTTACGGCTCACGTAATAGAAACTGCATAAAATGAATCATTTTTAAGAAAGTGAGCTGGGGAACAGTGGGGGGCGAGCAGCTCCCAGGTTCTGCAGAGCAAATGGTAGGCAGCCTTGTCCTGAGCCTCCACATTCGCATCCTACCGAACTTAGTCCTCTCTTCCAAGAGAACGGGTCACAGGCCCTATTGTCTGTTTGCACATGTGCTGTTACAAAATACAGACAAAAATGTCTCAGGAAAGACCTTTTGTGAGAGTGGATTTGCAAATAAAAATGCTCATGGAGCACCAACCAGAGAGAAGGGGGATATTCTAGAGGCAAAGAATTACCTGTTAATAAAGAGAAAACTCATTGTTTCTCTAAGTGCAAACATCTAATTTAGTAAAAACCATGACCAAGTGAACACAGAGGGCACTTGTTCCTTCAATGTGGCTAAAACCATATTCCAGGACTGGAAGTCCCTGAAAAGAGATTGTATTTCCATCACACTTTTCCTCTCTTATACTAAGGCAGGTAAGCTGACCACACATAGAACCATAGGACGAGGCGGCCGGGCTGGGGATGCTCACGCCGGCCTGCTCAGCACCAAGGAACCTATGGGGACTGTGCAGTGATGCGATCAGCTGCTTTTGCTGGACAGTCAGGTGTCACCTGCTGTTCTTCAGCCTTAGCAGAGGCAGAAGCACAGTGCTTCCGTGGGCAGAGCTGCATCCCTGCCGGAGCGCACACAGCTCTCCACTGAGCCTGCTCCGCTGATCTACAGGCTGCCCCGCCTCCCATGCATCAGGAGGGTATCTCCTGTGGATGGAGCCAGGTAAGGGAGTGAGGCACACCTGTTTGCTCTCCTCACCTCAAACTCCAGCTCTGATCACACATTCCCCAGCACTGTGGGGTTCTTTCACTCTTTTCACTGAACGGAGGGAAGCACTGTGGGCTGGGGCCAACTCCAGGTGGGTTTCGCCTTCCTCGGCACAAAGAAGCTGACACTGCTTTAGCACTTATGTTCTTAACATGCCGGTTTGACTTATTCAGAGACAGAATAGCCACCTAACACTGCAGGGCTGGGAGGGTCCCGGCACACTGCATCCCCCGAGACTGTCCTGCAGATGCCAACCAGGAGCCTCTGAGCTGCGCCTGGCCTGTGTGTGGTGGCATGGCCAAGGGTCTAGGTGGGCACCCACTGGCCTTGCGCTTTGCCTGCTCTGTAACATGATGCTGAGTGAGCTGCAGGGGCGTGAGAGGATGAGACAAGAACCAGGCAGTCAAGGAGCACTCCCGGGGAGGCCCACGGCTCATCCAATGTGTGGACTCAAATCAGCTAAACATGGAACAGTGCCCCATCTGCAGGTCTTTCTCTGTAGCCCTCACAATAAGGCCAGCAAGCCCCCACTCAGAGATGGCCAGCGCCAGCCATGGGAACTCTCACAGAGACGACGCCAGCTGGTGCTCCAGCTCCAGGCTCCTCTCCTGATAGGAGCTGCACCCTCTCATAATGAGCAACTCCCTCAGGGGTTAGGGTGACAAGAGGTGACAACAGCGAGACAAAGAAGGGGGCAGAGCAGCTCCCGTTAGCAGCTACAGAAGGCTGGAGAGAAGGCAGTGGGTCATGGGCTGTGGGACAAAAGCCATGGGCTGTGGCATCCCCAGGATCCGTCCCTCCCATGGTGGCGGCGAGGGCCCCTCTATGAAGCCTGTTTGAGAGCCTCTTTATGGCCTGCTTTCGGCTATCCTGG